AATATATATATAGTTGTAATTCTATATATAATTGTAATTATATATGCAATCATAAATGCGTGCATATACTTATAAAATGTTACGTATGTATTTACCTGAATTTCACTTTAAAAAAATATTCCGTAAAAATCCTCAGATAACATACTTCTTTTCCAGACCTAACTTGCTGTCAGGTTGGTAGGGAATGATGGTCATGCCCTAGACTTTGAAATTCTTCCCAGAAGGACTTTACTCTTTACCTGTTTATATCCCACCCTTACTGCAGAGTCCAGCCCATAATAGTAAGTGCTCAGTACACTGAGGAACGACGCTGCTTCTAATTACATTTCTAACGAGGGAGTGTGCCTTAGAACAAACCGTTTTCTCTAGGAAGCATTGTTTCTGTCTTGTTAGGGTTCCACTTAAGTCTAATTTTGGTCTTTTCTCTTCTACAAACCGTTGTTCCCAGCAGGCTCGGATTCACCAAGAGAGTAAGTATCCTGGCATATTTCAATGATATCTATATCTTTCTGTGCTAGTCTGGACCAGATTCCTTACTGCTGAGAGTAAATGGACAATCAGTTTTTTTCTGATTAATCTTTAAAATGCATTAGAAAGAAAATAGACTTAAAGCCATGTATCAACGTAAGTAATGTGTGTTTAATAGTATCTCAAATTTCAGCAACCATTGAAAGACTTTTATCCTTGGATCCACTTCGTGACTGAAAAGCCATTCCTAAATTCACATTATTCTGTAGGTTGTTGGGTTTAATGGTCGTTGTGTTTTGAGGGAGGCGGCGTGGGAAGCCAGGATGGCGTTTCTGTGGGTTAGAGAGAAACGTTTGTGGGGGAGCGTGGGGTGCAGACCCAGCCCCGCACTGTGGGTTTGCACCGCGCTGCACGGGTCTGAGACGCAGGCGAGGCTCTCGCTGCCACTCCTGCGTTTCTCCCGTTGGGATCGGCCTGGCGAGGGTGATCGTGGAGGCGGTGCTGGTGGCCGCGGTGCGACGTGCGCGCCCAGCCTGCCCCGTGCTTGCGGGACGCGTGGTCGGGGCGGGGACGCGCGCAGTCCCTGCGCCCTCCCGGGCTGGGCCACCACCGGACTGGGCGGAGGCGAGCGCGGTCCGCTGGGCCTCGGGCATGGCTTCGCGCGCGTCTCTCACCCGCCCGTCGGGCCACCTCCTGGGCGGACCGACGGCCCGGAGGCAGGTGGCACCGCCCCGGGCCCGGACGCGCAGGCCCGGGGCTGTGAGCCGGAGCCCGCGTCGCCTCCCAGCCCCCTTCCTATCTCCCTGCCGGGCTCCCTCATCTCCCCGACCCCTGTGTTGCCTCTGTCTCCAATCCTTAGCACCGCCCCCCTCCCCGCCCCGTCACTTCTCTCAGCGTGGCCCCTCGGTGCCCCCGACCAAGCCTCCCCGAAGGCGGCTCGGGGTTCACTCAGCATGCGCCGGGGTGGGTTTCTCTGAGTTGAATGTCAGATGCGCCCCGCGACCTCGCGTCGCCCGGAGCCCGCAGGCCGGTGGGGCTGGCACACCTGGAGGGCGTCACAGGCGGCGTGTGGGGACCGGGAACGCCAGCCCTCCTGTGCCTGCGCGCAGTTCTGTGCCCAGCGCCTGGAGGTCTACAGTAGCGTGTTTTGTTTTGGAGGAAAACAGAGGGTGAGGACATTTTATCAGCTCAGTGAATAAAGAAATCCAATTTGAAAACACGGGGAGGAAAACGAAATTTCCAAGGCTGACACAAAGGAAAACCGTTCTTTTGTGACTTTGTGACAATAGGGAGTTGGAACTTAGGTGTGTAGGCTCATTTCTAAGAAGCTTGAGAATTCTTTTTCTTTTGCAACTGTATTTTGGTCAAAATGAGGTCTATAATATTTTACAATTTCTGAGGAGAAAAGGAGTTTCTTGATGTTAAGTTTTAAGGCCTGGTCCTCGTGAGAACACTGTGATGGTTCTGTCACTTTGGGTTGGAGGTTTGACTTGGATCTCCAGGTCTGGAGGGCGAGTCTCCCCATTGAGGTGGGTGCAGAGGACCCCCACGCCCAGACTCCTGCGGGGTCCCCTGAAGAGCAGACACCAGCTTGGGGCTGCCCAAGCCCAGGGGCCAGACCAGAGGAGCTGACCGAGGGCCTTGGGGTCAGCGGGTGGGAGACTAGGCAGACCCTTGGCCTTGCTGCGCTCCCCGTGGCTCTTGACTGTGGCCCACGGAGCCCAGCTGGGGTCTGCTCCAGCCTGCCTGCAGGGGATGGGCACCAAAGCCCCGGCTCCAGGCTCCCCTCCTCGAACGTCAGGGAGCCGCAGTGGGGCCGGGCTGCCTCCAGCCGGCCCGAGTCGGGCTGTGGCGGCCTCACAGCTTTCAGCCCCCTCCCCAAGTGTGGCCCTCAGATCGCTCATCCTTCTTGAGTCTCCAAGAACCACTCCACCCCGAGAAAGGACGAGAGCCTCTTGGTCACCACGGGTCTGTCCACTGGCTGGCTGTCCACGCCCGGGCTCAGCAGTGATGAGGGACTCAGTTCACACCCTGATGGGACATCCAGCTGGAGTGGGGTCACAGGTCTACCAGAGCTCGCGACTCCAGCAGACTGCACCTGGTTTCAGGTGACTAAGTGGGTGTTTGACACCTGCCAGTGCCCAGGCGTGTGCTGTGTGTCTCCCCCTCCTTCACCGCAGGAGCCTCGGCTACTGGGGACAGTGGAACACGGCCCAGCTACCCGAGGTTCGTGGTCCTGAGATGCTGATGGACAACCAGAGCTGCCCTAAGTCAGCCTCGAACTGGCCTGGCCTCCCGCTGGGGGAGAGCCTGGAACTCTCTGGAAGGAACGAGACCAGGGAGTGGTTAAAGAGGCAGTGGAGGCCTCCTCTCGGATCCGGTCCCCTGCGTCCCGTCAGGAGGGCGGGTTCCTCCGTCTGGCCCACCTCCCTGCCTGCGTCGTCAGAAACTGGAGCAGAGGTGCGTCCGCTGCTGACTGGTAGGCTCCAGCCCCTGCCCGCGGGCTCTGAGGCCTGCTCTGGGAGCATGCGGGACTCCAGGGGGCAGCTGTAGACACACCAGGCCAAGCCCCTGCTCTCCAAGCGAGGGCACACGCGGTGAAAATCAGAACAAGGAGCTACATAGTGTACCACCGATGCTAATCTGCACTGTGGCAAAACCAAGAGTGGGTTTAGTTTGTTACAGGAATGTGCACGTTGCTCACGGACACCTTCTCGATCCATCAACGTGAACCTGCAGGCGTTGTGCGACCAGCTCGGCACTGGGGTGCTATTCCTTGTTCTTTGTACCAAGCAAAGGTGCAGCATAAACGGATCTGCCCAAGTCTCTGTTTTTCCCTCTCGTTCACCGATCTCATTTCCAGGAGCCTGACAGCCCAGCCCAGATACTTTGTTGTTCCAGGAGTGTCCACAGAGGGGCTAATGTAAAGAAGTGTCTAACTACTGCGGTAAGCACATCTGTGATTCAGTAGATTTAGGCTGAGTAGTTTAAAACAAATGAATGCAACTGTTCAAAAATTCAGTGGGTGAGAGTAAAGTGAATCAACTTTTTTTTGCAAGAAATAGAAGACAATAGAGTGTCCTGAAGAAAAAAAAGATCAAGACATAAAGCTGCTGAAAACCTCTTGAAGAAACATCACGATGGCCCAAGGACTCTGTGATGTCGACATGGTGAGAACGGTCTCTGAGCCAGATAATTATCCGCAGATACAAAGAACAGTACATTTTTTGTCCAGAGGTGAGCGCTGAGTAGTTAGAGTGACTTGCCCAATGTCAGAATCACTTGAGTTCGGCAGATAAGATGAATAGGCCCTTGGAAGATCTGGAAGAGAAGATTGTGTTGAGATAAACGTAGGTTGTAAGGAAAGTGCATTGTCAATCGTCGTATCTGTGAATGATAGAACAACTAGGCAATTTTGCCCAAAGCAAATGCTTCAAATCCATAGAACCTCAATCAAAAGTTTATGGATAATTCGGTCATGAGAGCTGATATTTTGAGTTTGATATTTTCCCTTTGCAAGCAATTTTTTTTCTCTTGGTTTTACCTTTACCAAACTCGTCACCCCCTAGGGAGAGACTTAGACCTTTTGGAAAATTGACTAGCTATCCAAAATTAAGCTTTACCAAAAAGAATTAGTCATAGGCGAAGACGGCTACAATTTCCAAACACTCCCTTAGTGCTAGGCCCTCTCTCTGTCCTCTAATGGTGTCGCCCACAGTCCTCTAAGGAAGCATTTGAGGCAATAGGAGATTGAACAACTTTCTAAGGATCACAAGGAACGTAAATAGCAGAAGCAAGGGTTTAACCCAGGAATTTCTAAATTCAAAACCCATGGAACTTTCAAAGAGGAAAAATTTTAGGCAGCAGGAAAACGGATCTCCGTCCATGAATTAGGACATCCTGGAATGTGAACGTGTCAGTTACGCATAAATAGCAACTCACTCAAGTCAGGTAGCTGAATCCTATCTTTATACTCTGTCGGAAAAAATTTATAGACAAGCTAGAACACGTTAGCATAATTTAAAGTCATCTTCCACATTTAAGTAATGCCGTCTTCTATGTTCTTCTGCAGTATCATAATTATCAGTAATTAAAATGTTAAATGGTTCATCACTGAAGTGGTTTCCATTCTTTCTCTAGGCTGTCAAGATAATGATTTTTCACTTTTGTTCTGAAGGGGACAAAGCGAAGGAAAGGGCTTGTTGAGAAGAAGCAGGTAGGGAAATTGAAGGTGAGGGTGTACCTGTGAGAGGCTAATTTGGCATCGCCGAAGCCCCGTTAGCCTGGGCCAGGAATACCGCTCAGGGTCTGCGGTTAGAGGCTAAAGCTTCTGAGTCTAGAATTAGTCGTTGCTGCTCTGTCTCTCTTCTTTCAAGTCTGGGAACTGATTGAACAGGTAGCAGCTGCTCCATCTTTTATTTGCTGAATAGCATTGGCTGTGAGCTACCACCTGCCCCAAACACCTGATCCCCGACTGTTTCTTTCCTTCTGTCCACCAGCGATTTACATTTTCAAGGCAGAGAGAGGATGGGGAAATTTGTTACGAGGTTGGAAGGTAGATCACACCTCAATCTGTCTACATCCACAGCAGCACTCACTCCTTCACCAAGTGTTCGCTGAGCACCTACTATCTGCCACGTGCTCTTCTAGGTGTTTCCGCCGAGCTGGTGACAGTTTGTACCATGTTGAGTTCTGCACTTATGATGTGTAAGACTGAGGTCCTGATTTATCTTTTCTGAGAACAAATTAGTAAGCCTGGCAGTAGCCTTCCTCAGGTTTTGAATTTTGTATTGGGTTTCTGCTTTGAATTTTAAATTTCTGTTTTGAAATTCTGTTTTGTTTCTGAGGGAAAGGAAGTGCCTGTCTTCATTCCAGGTATATGTCTGCCTCTCTGAACAGACTTACTGCAAACGCATTAAAAAGAAAAAAAAATCTTTCTTTGTAGTGGAGTGGTGGGAAAGTTGAGGTGAACAAGACGTTATTCTGGGTGGTTCACATATTCACTAGTTGGTAAAGTCTGCATGGGACATCAGATCTTTAAAAAAATAATTCCCAGTGCTACGTTAATTTATTCAAAATTTGCTGACCATCTACTCTGTGCCTGGCACTTTGCAAGCTGTCTCTTCTCTGCTGTCAGGTAACACCCAAACCCTTCCTGAGGGGGCTTACAGTTAGGGGTGCGGGGGGGGGCAGGACAAGCAGAAAAGAAGCGCTGATTCAGGGAAGAATGTTGCAGGGGCCTCCCTGGTAACATCTAGGTTACTAATTGAAGTTCAGCAGAATCAATGGAACCAGAAGTTCCTTTTCAATTTATCCCCCTGCAGTTTTGCTAGATGTGGTCAGATACTTGTGTTTCACATGAGGATGTTTATAATCATTTGGGGGCAGCTGGCTTTATTGTAGAAATTGATAATTTAATAAGCACACCCTCCCGAAGTTGGGTGAAAGTTTTAGGAATTACTGTGAGACGGAGATTATTTTCTGGGTGTTGATTTCTAACGTGTAGTTATAAATTAAATATTTTCTCTTCAACAGTAAAGTATTTTTCCCTCTGAAAAGACTGATTCTAAGGTTCCATTCTGTACAAAATCCACTTATACAATATTTTCTTGAGCCACAAGACTTGAGCGTAATGCTGCCTGGGGGAATTATATAGTCTTAGCTACTTTTCAGTTGTCAAAAACAGGAATAGATTTATCTGCCGTATGTGGTAAGTATTTGGTTTTAACTGGTTGAGTTGATTAGCACTTAATAAATAGCTTTTAGCCATTGTCAAGCAGTCTCTGAATAACATTGTGACAACCTAGTAAATGTCTCTGAAAGTATTTCAGCCTGTTACCCATCCAGCTATTCACTTAAAGAAGCTTCTCCTGAACCCCGCTATTGTGGGCCCTGAGGAGGTGGGAGGGGCCCTGTGAGAGCTTTGCCTGGATGGGCTCACAGCAGGGCGAGAAGCCCATAGGGCAGAGCCAGCACAGTGAGAACATCAGGAAAGGTTTGGGTCATTTACTATGGAAACCAGAGGACGAGCAACTGGACCTGCCTGAAGGGTTCAGGACAACTTGGGTGGGGGCTGTGGCACCAGATGAGGCTTGGGGGATGAGTGGAGGACCACACTTTGGAGGACTAAGTTGACTGCCGGTCATCTGCAGTCAGATGGGGACGTGCACAGGATGAAGGAATGTCTCCGAGAGGGACTGTGCTGGTGGCATTGTGGAGGACAGATGTGGATGATGGAAACCAGGGGCAGGAGAAGCACGATGGGGCCACTGGTGAGAGCTTAGGGGTAGAAAAACTGAGACTGGCAACTGGTGAAATGTGGGCAGTGGGAGGAGGAGTCCAAAATCACAGCAGGGGGTGCGGTGGGGCACACACAGGACGAAAGGGAGCACAGGTGGGGAGCAGGCTTAGAGAAGATGGACTTGCTTTTGGAAATGTAGACTTTGAGATACCTGCAGGACGTCACACAGCCAGTGGGAATGCAGGACTCAGGCTTAGCCAGAGGCTTCATAAACATGCTAGGAAAATGCACATATTTTTCAGCCACACATTAAGCTTCTTGTACAGCCCCTTGCATTTCATACATATTTATTTCTGTATTTCTTTTTCTTCCTTTATTTTATTTTATTTTTTTTTACATTTTTTATTGAGTGATAGACATTTTACAATGTTGTGTCAAATTCTAGTGTAGAGCACAATTTTTCACTTATACATGAACATATATATATTCATTGTCACTTTTTTTTTGCTATGAGCTACCACAAGATCTTGTATATATTTCCCTTTTCTATACAGTATAATCCTGTTTATCTATTCTGAATTTTAAAATCCCAGTCTGTCCCTTCCCATCCACTACCCCCCTCACAACCACAAGTTTGTATTCTATGTCTATGAGTCTGTTTCTGTTTTGTTTTCTTTTTTTTTTAGATTCCTCATATGAGTGATCTCATATGGTATTTTTCTTTCTCTTTCTGGCTTATTTCACTTAGAGTGACATTATCCAGGAACATCTATGTTGCTGCAAATGGTGTTATGTTGTTGGTTTTTGCGGCTGAATTGTATTCCATCATATAAATATACCACCTCTTCTTTATTCAGTCATCTGTTGATGGACATCTAGGCTGTTTCCATGTGTTGGCTATTGTAAATAGTGCTGCTATGAACATTGGGGTGCAGGTGTCATTTGAAGTAGGGTTCCTTCTGGATATATGCCCAGGAGCGGGATTCCTGGGTCATATGGTAAGTCTATTCCTAGTCTTTTGAGGAATTTCCGTACTGTTTTCCATAGTGGCTTTTCTTGCTTCCCTCTCCCACTCTTAATGATTTAGATGTCTTCTTTGCAATTTCGTGTTTGTTCTTTTTGTAATTCATGGCAGTTATCCCCTTTCCAGTTATGAGTTTCTCATTTTTGTAGCATCCTGCTTCTTTTCTGTTTAGAGTAGACCTGTCAATATTTCTTTTAGCATGGGTTTAGTGTTGCTAAACTCTCCTAGTTTTTGCTT